TTTTACTGACTCATTCACGAAAAAACGGAAGAAACGTTCTGATTCGATGAAAAATATATTGATTTTTTTTCGTTATTTAAACATTTTTTGAAGAAAATATTAATTAGACAAACAATTGGTAAATTTTTGAGTTTTAAAGATTTATTTTCAATTTTTTCTTATTTACTTACAGAGTGCAATGAATTTTGCGTAAAAACTTCCAACCACATTCCAGTCTGAAAAAGTGGAACCATATTTTCCAGAATGCAGTCATTCTTTATTTCGAAGGAAAAGAATTTAAATCCATCGTAAAGAGGCATGTTTATACACAGAACTTTTCGTATTTGTGTCCGATTTCTCACTTAAAATAAATCTCCTAGTGGGAGGTTGAACTATATCACTTGGCTATAGCATTCAAAAATTGCCGTAATATTGTGGTTGTTAATGCTAACTATCTGTTTACAGTATTTTATTGGAACCTTGAATGTATTTCAGTTAGTTTTTAGTTAAAGTTGTAGTGCCTTTTCACAAATAGGTGCTCCTAAATTACTTATCGGTGCTCAATAACTTAAATCAGTGCCATTTACTTATTTGAAATATGTCTATTAATTATTTTATATTAAATTAACTTAAAACATCCCAATTTTTAATAACAAAGATATTAGGCTGCTCAGGCGATAGAGCGTTTGTCTCCTAATCATTTAACATCCCAGCAGTGGCTGGTCAATATGAATTCTGCTCCAGGCTTGCACCTACCACAGTGCTGACGTAAAATATCTTCAGTGATAGACGGATCATGGGTTAGAGTCCCCTTGCTGTCAGGCTAACCGTGGAGGCTTTCTTCGCCATGTAACGCAAATAGAAAAAGTTTCCACCAAGTCTAGTTTGACCCAATGCTTGATGCAAGAGTTCCTTTGTCTTCTGGATTAGGTAAAAATTGCAAGGATACGGACCTTTATAGTCGAAAGCTCAGATTTGGGTTGACAGTTCAACACCGGTTATTAAGAAAAACAAACAAAGATATTAAAATACAATCAGCTCCAGTCACCTGTTTTCAATCAAAACTTAAATAAATCGTAGAGAATAACAAAATTTGATCTAAACTTATCAAACAATTTATATTGACTAAATTCATGTTATATTAATACTTATTTTTACGCGATTTGAACCATATTGTCGTTAAGAAGGTTTTTTGTTTTTCATTTTGAACGCATACATCTCCAAACTGTGATTTAAAGTTGCTAATTTCGTTGCAATTTAATAAATAGGAACATTAAACAGTGGAAACATTGAAATTATGAGTAAAATTAAAATTGGGCATTTTAGTTAAAAAACAAAAAACAAAAAAAACAATTAAGTGGACCTATCAAAGTGATCTGAAATGAACGATATTGATGCTCGCCCAATTGGGTACTTGCACTTCAAGAAGACCTCCCATACTCACACATGTGACCTATGACGTCAGTGCCAGGTAATCTTTATCAGCAAATTAGCGTATTAAAGTTCTGTGAAGTTTCTCTACATAAGTTAAAATGTTAATTAGCAAGTTAAATACAGAGCCGTTTCGCACATCGAATTAGTAAAAATATAACTTCTTCTTGTATACTTCTTTTTTCTTAACCAAAATTTACTATTAATTTATGTATTTTACTGTAACCGTGATATATTTTAGTTTTGTGTACCTGACAACTTCGATGCATAATTAGTTTGTTTATGTTCCTCATGACTTTGTACCCATCTTTGTGTTAAGTTTCTGCGTAAATAAAATATTGACGAAATCTTTGTGAAAGAATTTAAAATGTGTCACTTAAGAGAAGTGATAGTTGTCGGGCTTTGTTTACTGGAAATGTAATGGAGAGAACTGTTGCTAACGTAAAAAAGGGCTACATTTCAACAACCATTCGTGATCGAGATACCTCCCCCCCCCCTACGTCACTCGCAGTTATCTCATTGTGGCAGTCCTAGCGCCATCTGCTGACAGATTATGACTTCCAAATCCCTGAATACAAAAAATACAGTGAAATTTTTTCTGTAAGAAATGTTTCGTTTCCGTTTGAACTAACAACGATGAGATAATTAAACATAAAATGGACACAAAAGAATACGACACAGACAATTTGTATAAAGATTTATTATTCAAAGGAATAAAAAAATTGTTGTTATTGGCAAAAGTACACTTAGAGCTTTGAATAGTAATTTAAACAAACCAATTGATGTAACTACATCTCAAATTTCTAAGGCATCTTCTGGATGGGATCCAATCATCGAAAAAGAATTTGTGTGTCTTCATTCGGAACGGTTTTATAAAAAGGCCTCTTTTTTTTAACATTTTCCTCCAATACATCATTTCACTCGCCTCTGATGGACCTCAAGTTTTTAAAGAACCTTTCGTTTGATTAGTCATATCTTGGTCAATTTATTATTATTCAAATTTTATTATTATCAATTATTGAAACCTTCTAAATTAGATTTGCACAACCTGATATTAGTGGAGAGCAGGCTATTAGTTGTTTCAACAGAAATGATAGCTTTAACTACTGAAATTAAGGTTTTGCAGTTTTGAAGTTCGCGTGAATATATAAGTGAAAGTACCAAGAATTTTGAAAAAGGAATTTGTTTTCTGTTTAAAATAAAGGTAAAAACTTTCTTATGAAATACTGTTCTTATGTTTGTTATAAAATTCAAACGTAGATTGCTAAATGTTAGTAAATAAATATGTTTATTACTTTATTTAAAATTTAATTTTTAAAAATTCGAAATATAATTTTCGATATTTTTTAAAAAATTTAATATCCGTACTTTTATTATTTTCGAAGTTAAAACATGAGCTAAACAAAGATTTAAAGGAAAATGGATTTGGGCAATGTCAGTTTAGAACCAAACAATTTGACCGGACGAAGACAGTTTTGAACCTAAACAACTGGGCAAGATTTAATCAGTTTTGAACCCCAAAGTAATTACACTGAACTTTGCCAATTTTGAATCAAGACAATTGGACAGGCAAAGAAAAGGTTTGTCATAATTAAACAAAAGACTGCCAGATCAATCCAAAGCGGTATTATGATTAAAAATTAGTTACGTGCCGTTAATGGAACCCGACACTTTTTAAAAACAAATAAAAAAATAAACTGATTTATTATTTGAAATGATAAATCTAATTTATGATAATATCTCAAATTTTGCTTTATTTTTTACACTTGATGACATTTAATCTACACCTTACGCACAGATAAGATGCGAAAATAGTTTACCGTGTGTTCGTAATAATATATAATTTTCAAAGACCAAATATTTAATCTTAGGAAGACTACATATAATTAAAAAAAAAAAAACTTCATAACTTAGTTCCACCAGAGGATAGTGAAGAGGGATTAAAGTGCACTCTACATCTGTTATACAAAGATTGTGCAAGCGTTGTTCAAAACAATTCCAGACAAACTGAGAAAAAGAAATCTTCTAGGTGGTTCAATCTTCAAGTTTGTTATATACATAATGTCACAGTTTATTTTGTTAAATGTATTTGTTTTAACTTGGCCACTTAATTTGCCTTATCGTTGTTTTCGGTTTAGCGTTAAGTTAGTGTTTAATTTTTATCCCAGAATTTTTGAAAATTTTTGTTAGTTTATAGTTTTGCTAAATTAATTTGAAATCGCAATATAAGAATATATAAGCATTTTTAAAAGTTTCGTTTTGTCATTTGTGTATATTTTGTGTTTTGCAAAAACATATGTTAACTGCAAAATTTGTCATTCATTTTTTTTATGTTTAACATTTCTGGATATAACTGGGAAATGATGAGGCTAGGAGAGTAAAATTTATCATTTCTTTTCTTTTAAAAGATATTTTCATTATCCATTTTTTTACTATCACAAAACTCGGAAAGTGAATAAAATATAAATAAGTATTTCGGAGAATTAACAAAATTAGTGATGAAAAGTATAAAAATCATCATAAATTTGTTCCCAAACATCTTTTAACATAAAAACTGTTATAATTAAAGCCTTAATAAACTGATGGTTTTAGAAGAACAAACTAATGTTCTTAGAAAAATAAATCAATGTTCTTTCCAGAACAAACTGTAATCTTAGAAGAATAAACATAATGATCTTAGCTGAATAAGTTAATGTTCTTGGAAGAACAAGTTAATGATCTTAGAAGTAGAAATTAATGATATTAGAAGAATAAGTAATGTTCTTAGAAGTATTAATTAATGTTTTTAAAAAAATAATTTAATAGTTTTTGAAGAATAAATTAATGTTCTTAGAAGAATATATTAATATTCTAAAAAGAATACATTAATGTTGATTAAAGAATAAATTAATATTTTTGAAAGAATAAATTAATATTTTTAAAAGAATAAATTAATGTTTTTAGAAAAATAAATTTATGTTCTTAGAAAAATAAATTAATTTTCTTAGAAAAGTAAATTAATGTTCTAAAAAGAATAAATGAATGATCTCAGAAGAATGAACATACACAACGTATGTTTTTAAATGTATAAATTATTATTCGAATTACTTTACTGAGATTCCTTCTCAGTTCATCTGGAATCTGGTGCTCATAAAGAACAAAAAAAAGAGAGTTCCAAACGTAACAGAGTGTGTGATTGTACGAAGCGTCTACAAGCGTCAGGTGCAGAGTATGAAAAAGACTTGTGTTGACAACAACTGCCAGTTTAACATGATAGTATGAAAAATAAATACAGTGGTAGCTTTTCCACAATTCTACCACCCGAATGAGTTAAATGAAACATAAATTAGTTCTGGCAAGATGATATCTTACACATGCGTTTCTTAGAAGTTCCATTTTGGGAATTTTTCCATGCAAAGATTTCCTTTTGTAACTATTGTTGAGCTGTTTTGATTTGGGTAGGAAAAAGAATTGTTCGATGTTGAAGAAGAGTTGTTCATCGAATTGAAAATTCAGCTGTTGGTAGTTTGGCACGATATTTCAGTTCTTTATTCATCGTGAATGGTTGTTTTCAGGAATGATGTGATGTGGATGACATTGTTTTTTTTTAAAGGATATTACACGTTGATATCTAATGGATCACAGCCAACAGTCATCCTTCAGTACCTGGGAGCTAAAAACAAAGAATTAATAAAATATAAATTTTCGATTTTTTTCTTCTTCAATGTTATACATTCATTTAGTTTTGTGTTTACCACATTTTCGATAATGAGACAACATTTCATATAGAAAACGCTAAATGATTGTAAATTATGATAAATTTATATTCCTGTCTTATATAGATGGATAAAAACTTGTGTTAACAAGAGATATATTCTTCTGTTACATTTTAGCAGATAAGAAGTTTTGCTGTAACAGTTATCCATCTCTATATTAAACAAAAAATCCAAAAAAACTGAAGCAGCAAGATATTATTTGATTAGTTGGAAATAACAGTCGAGAGCAAATTGGAAAATAGCAAACTGGACAGTAACAAAATTGAAAGTAACAGTAAACATGTATCAAACGATACTTATATATTGCCTTGATTTTCTAACTGTAAAATCTCTAGATATTTTTATAAAAAAAGCGGACCAACCTAGTAGTCGGAGTTTCGATCGCCGCTGGCCATAATATAGTTTGCAATAATGGATAGCTAAATTACATCATCCAGTTAAAGGAAGCATTTGGGGACAAATTTGTTATTAGCTAAATTAAATTGCTGATTTTACTCTTATTCGATTCTTAAAAAAACTGCAAGTCAGATAATCACAATATAAAATGAACACCACAGAATTTTAAAATAAGTTTAAAATAAGGTCAGAATGTCTTTTTTTCTGCAAGAAATGGACAAAAATTAGATATTTTGGTAAGATTTAATGTTGCTAATTGTTAGACATTACCTGCTTAAATTGTAGAGGGAAAACAATTGCTTAAAGCTTAAGTTAAAAATAAGAATGATAATAATTTAAGCTTTTTTTAGTATGTTAGAAATTAAAGATTAATAACTTTCATTTTTTTTTAGAAAAAAAGGGGATAGTTTTTGAGTTTTTCTCTTCCTGAATTAAGATAGAATTGACTAAAGTTTGTGCCTTATATGAAACCGAATTATATACAGCGCATTTCCGTAAAATGAGTACTTTCAAATCAATCTATCAAATTTTTGAATATCTTAAATGAAAGTCGTAAAGGAGAATAAATTATATTCATTTAATAGTTTGTATTAAACAGAAGGGGTGCAAAAACTTGGGAGTCACCGGACGATTTTTCCTTTTAACTTGCAAACTTACAACATTTTTGTATGTTATATGATGTGAGGTCTTACAAAGATCGACAAAATAGAGTCACACATAAACTTTTTGTTAGGTGAGTTTTATATATGTGGCATTTGTATGCAGTTCAAATTGACAAAGGAGTGCAATTTTCCAATTCAGTGGCCCTTTACAAACCCACTTTCCTGTTTAGTATTTTCAATTCATTTTTTTTTAAATTCACGTAAAGAATTTTAAAAGAAACAGGTAATATATAAAAAAATTCTAAAGTCAATTCCTACTTGATCAAAAATGAAAAATTTTATTATAGTAACTTTTTATTAAATAATTATAATTTTTTCTCTCACATAAAGCTAAAATTAATTAATTAAATTTAATGAATGAATTAATATTTGAAAAAAAAAACTGTATTAACATCAAGTGTCAACCACTATAAATTTTTAAAAAAATTGAGCGGAAGAATAAAAAGTATTTTATTAACTATTGAAAATTTGATCAAGATATATAAATACTGGTATATAGGGAGAATGTGAACTAATAGAAGGAATTGAAAAAAAGGAGCGTGGTATCAGACAACTATAAAAGTATACATTTGATGACGTGGCCCACACGTGCTGCCACGTCATGTTCTTCATTGAATTTATCTGACACAGCGAATATAAAATAATTAAATATTTAAATGTGAGCAATAAACTATTTTTTTGTTTATGAATTAGATATTATCACTGATGTTATCTTTAAAGTATGTAAAAACAGGAATCGCTTATAGTAAAATTTAAAACAATGACTAATGCTTAGATCAGAGGTCGCCAAAGTGGTCTATATAGATCCCCAGGGGTCTGTTTAACATAAGCGGGGGTCGATCTGAGCCAGGGGGTAGAATGGGGGTCGATCCGAACCGGAAGGGTCGAAGGATTATCAGTGTTTTTCAGATATGTGACAATTAAAAATAAAAGACTTGGAAATATATACGAGAAATCTTCAAAAATTGAGCGACGATTTTAAACTGCGTTTTGTTGATTTGGAAAACATTGACATCCCTGATTGGATTATTGTGCCATTTTCTGCTCAAATTGAAAACGTGGACATCAACCTGCAAGATGAGCTTGCTGAATTATTATGGGGATTTGAAGCAAAGACGCATTTTAAAAATTTAGCAATAAGCAAATTTTGGACAAATATAAATATAATGCAAAAATATGTAAGACTTTACGAAATAGCTCAGCCATTTATGATAGCATTTCAAAGTTCCTATATGGTTGAAGCCGGTTTCAGTCACGTAAATTCAATCTTAACTAAGAACAGAAATAAATTAAATGTGGAGTTTCGAGGGGATTTAAAATTAAAATTGATCAATTTTGAACCCAATATAACGAACCTTGCAAAAAAAAAATAAAAAATACCAGGCACACCCATGTCATTGATTAAGAAGCAATAAATCCGTAGTTACTTTACTTATTATTTCTACTTATAATTACTTATTATTTCATAAATATTAAGGTATTTATATTTCAACATTAAAATATTTTTCATAAAACTATTGTTACACTATGTACTATTACTTTAATAAATGTTCAAAATCATAAAATAAATGTACAAACACAGTATCTAATAGAGTGTTATCTTAATTAACAGAAAATTACTTTTATGGGGGTCGATGGAGATTTCGAAAAATTATGTAGGGGTCGATGATCAAAAAGTTTGTCAACCCCTGGCTTAGATCAATCAGAAAATTCCATTTCGTTTTTCGTCCATCCCTATTTAATTAATGTACTAATATTTGAAAAAACCGAATTAACCTCGTCATTTACTACAAGTTTAAACAAGCGTATTTTTGACCTTGAATGAATGAATAAAAAGTATTTTATTAGAGATTGAAAATTTTAACAAGATATAGGAAAGTGTGAACTTACAGTAGGAATTGAATAAAAGATTGAATTACAGTTAGGACCCATTACAGGCAAGAGGAAAATCTCTTAAAAAAGAACGAGTCATTAAAGATCGCTGGATTGTAAATTAGAGCACGGGATATTGCAATCAGCTCTAAATTAGTTATTTTATATACTTACGCTTTGGTTTTGAGGGACAGACGCAACCAGGACATCGGTGGGACGGGGCGTTTGTCTCCGCATAGCAGCTGCCAACACATTTCGGTGTGGGGCATTTATATCGGCACTTACACACTTCACAGCCATCTGCTCCGATTTCCATGCCACAGCGGAGTCCAGAGCAGACAGGTGGTGGACAAGTTGGCTCTTCGGTTGTCGTAGCTACGGTCACAGTTTCTTCGACTTCTTCCAGGTCAACCGTCACTGTCGTGTGCAGCGTGGACAGGGTAGATTCCTCTTCCGCAACTACGGGTTCGATCATGCCTGTAAAAACTCCTGATGTGTCCCCTGTTTTGATTCCTTGGCCACCTTTGTTTGACGAATCTGATGAAGATGATTCTGTAAAAGAAAATGCTTTTAAAGTGTGAATCACTGAGTGAATCATATTTTTAACTAATGTTATTAGATTAGTGTGTTTCTTGTGGCAATAATTGAAATCTAAGTTTATGATTGGTTTATGTGACAAAATTCCAAAAGCAACCGATAAATAGGTTAATCTGACAGCGTTTCTTATTGGATCGAATACAGAATTTAGCGAGCTGAATGCAAGAATATTGAGCCCAACTCTTATGATATCATACACGCAAATTGAAGTCTGAAACAAAAAGGAAAATAAAGAAAGGAAAAGAAACAAGATCATAATAGGGTACTTTAAAAATGTGATAAAAGAAAGGGAATTGCAGTTTTATCTGACTTACCCTTCTCCGTTTTTTAGTAGTTAGGATTTTGAAGTTACGAAGTAAAACTGTTTTATTATTTTCAGATATAGTTTAGACATATAAAAAGTAATTATTTAAAATTGTGTTTCGCAAGAATTTAAATTCTCAATTTAAACACCTGAATTTGGTCGATACAAAGTTATCACGAGTTTATTCTGCCTACAGAAAATACATTTTCTACACATTCATAACTTAAAAGTTAAGACATTAAGTTGTCAAACGGGACCCCAGAAGAATGCAAAGAATCGTGGAAAGGTGTGAAAATTCAGTGAGCAGATTTAGATTTGGAATAATAGAGATCAGAATAAAGTGGGAGGTGAAAAGGGAATACTTAATATGAGAAAGCATAATAGATTTGTTATTTAGAATAAGATTAAGATACTTAAAAACGTTGGACCGATTCAAGTGCCAAGGTGTCAAGAATTTTTTAGCATATCAAGATGTTGGTCAAATTAAGATGTCAAAGAATGTTGGAAGGATCAAGATGTCGAAGAATAAAGGACAGATCAAGAAGTCGGGAAATAGAGGAGAGATCAAAATGTCAAAGAATGTTAGATTGAGTATATAGAGAATCCTGTGCCGATCAAGTTGTAGAGTAATAGAAGACAGATCAAGACATCGTAGAGTAGATGATAGACGAATATAGCAGAAAGTAGTGAAATGATTAAGATTTCGGATGTTGAATTGTTGAAGAAGTAAGAAAAAAAGAGTACATCGATGCTGTTTGAACGAACAAATGGCCCCATGAAAGTGGCAAAACTCATCTGAGCTCTGGCTATTGATTTACGTTTGCACTAAATGGTGACAACTTCAACTCACCATTGGCAGGTTGGCTGCAGATGCAAACAGGACAATACGAGAGATACTTGTTGGTGACAATTTGGCAGCCTGGATCACAAACAGGTGTCTGGCAGATGGGCTTGTCGCAGGAACAGATGGGACATCCCTTGGGACCGGGAATCTCCCTACAACCATGATCGGAGCAGAATAAATTGGGACAATACAAGTCGTCATCGTAATCATCTTCATCTGCGAATTTATTGAGAACATTATGAAATGTGATGGCTGTTAATAATTCCAAAATTCTAAATTGATTTAGTTGATAGGCATTAGGTTAGGTTGTCCTAAGTATTAGCACGTAGATATTGATGGAATATTAATAAGTTTCTGTACTGGGTTTTTATTTTGAAATATAATTCTGGAATGTTTTCGTAGCTAAAAGGATTTCCATATTGATAGAAATATTCAAGTCTCAATACAACCTAGAAGTACATAATACTCGTTATTTTAAATCCTTAAATTTCAGAGGCATTCTTAACTTAGCTACTCAAATTTCTAAATAATGAATTATCATTAAATCAGACTATGATGAAAACAAGTTCCTCAAATTTTGCGTATCATCAAATGATCATTTTATCATGTTTATCATGAAATGATTGAGGAGTTTTGAAATTCATAAAATCATTGAGAATTTTTATGCCTTAATAACGATGAATGATTGATTGGTAAAATGTTTGAATATCCCTGAATCAATTGAGTGAAAATTTGCATTTATATCAGTAAAACAATTTTTCAATAAAGAGAAACACATGAGGCTCTTCAAATGCATTTCTTTCTGAGTTGTAGAACTTAGGGTTAATAGTTAAAGAACTGTGGTTATGATTGACAATCACCTGCTTAATAACCATTCTAATTTAACGAATCTAACTTAATCTCTAATCTAACTTAACGAATGCTTTGTAAAATAGAAAAAAAAGAAAAAAAACCAAGAAACTGAACTGATCACCCGAGATTTATTTGCGTGATTTGCTTTCGTGAAGTAATCAAAATAAATACAAAAATATTTTTTTGCAACAAATTTCATTTGAATATTTGACGTACCATCATCTGTAAAAGTTGGGCAAACGCATGATGGACAAGTTCCTGGAGGTACATCAGTTTGGAGGCTACAACCTGGTCCACATTTCGGAATAGCACAACAGCTACAAGTGGAACAGCCATCTGGGCCTTTAACTTCTCTGCAATTCTTTCCTATGCAAGATATAGGAGCACAAGATGGTGCTGATGGCCCTAAAACAGGAATTTCTACTGAAAAACTTGTTTTTCTTTCACTTCTAAAAACCCTATTTTCAGTCTATTGTAAATTGATTTAGCATCACTTAATCATCAAGTTCTATTTCAAATACCATAAAATTCACTTGGGTACAGATTTTAAAGGATGATACCCAAATCAAAATTCTCGATGGTCCCAACAAAATATTTTAATGATTTATGTTAGTTTCAGTGGGATTCATGATGGCCTAACATCATTTCATGGTCCCAACATTTTCCATCATGTGTTCATGGATTTTGATATGTCAACAAATTTGCATCATTCCCTGATGGAAAATGCTACTTTAATACTCTGATGGCTGACAATCAAAAGAAGTTTGGTTCTCATGAATCAACAATCCATGATGATTTGTGATGGTTCATGATGGTTACAATGGCTGATGGTTTAATGAGAATTCTTGTTGGTTCTCAGGAATAAACCATCAAAATAAGTCGATTTTTCATGTTGAACCATCAAAAATCAGCCCGAATTTCTACATTGGGGGGATGGTGGTTCATGATCGTTGCAAAATTTGATATCTGAGAAAATACATATGATGGAAATTTCTGAGGGAGTAACATGAACAAACTATCAAAACAAGTTGCTATTCTTATGTTGGACCATCATAAATCTGACCGAATACCTATATTGAGGTGATGGTTACACTTATGTTGGTTACCATCAAAAATATAATGGTTCATGATGGAATTATTATTGGTTACTATTGAGATTATCTTGGTCCATCAATGGAAAACCATCAGAAATTTTGACTTGGGTATTATCTAAAGTTTTTTTTTAATTAATGATGGCCAAAAGTTTAAATTATTTTCAAAAACTAGAGTTGCTGCATGTAATTTTTTATTTGCTAAACCCAGAAGTGCACCCGTGATAATGAAACACTCAAATGATTCGTACCTCTCAACCTCAACCATGAATTCGGACTTTATCCTCAAAAGAAGAGACAAAGAAATTTTAAAGAAAGAGGAAAACTCGTAGCATACAAGAGAAATTTGTCCCACACTGACTTTGAAGAAGAGTATGCTAGCCACTTGAAACACAAATTGATTCATTAATAGAAAGTAAGAGACATAAATTTTTTGACGTAAAAGTCTCTTTTTTTAAAAATTTCAATTCTTCGAGGGAACTTAAATTGTGAAATCTATTTTCAAAAACAGAGTTTAACAAACTTGTTAACCCAAGAATCAATACTGTCTTAGACGACTCTCTTACAAGGATATGGCAGAAACCTTGGGGGGTCATCTTTCCCTCAGCTTTGGAACTTGAAAAAAAAAACCCTGCTCATATTTCCTGGAGTTGGAACAATTTATCTTTTTCGGTTTCATAGTTTTAACTTCTTTCCAGTAAAGCGTTTCAAGTATTTTGTTTCATTTGTCCACAAGTTAGTTTTATCACACCGCCCTATTGTACTTTAAAAGTGCACAGAAATTTTTGCAAGTCCACCAGTGAGGTATTTATGGCACGAATTGCAAGAGTGAGTTTTTAGAATAAATTTCATATCTGTAACTATGATTAAAATTTCTAATTTCATCATACATAATAATTTGAATGATCATTATTTTGTGAAATTCAAAATATAATCAAATTTAAACAGGATTAGATACCTGGTATGCTATGCCAAGTTTAACGTTGACAAAAAATTCCATCTCTGAAAAAACAACTCATTAGTCTGTTTACTTATTTATAATTATCTTAGTTGTGGCAGCTTTTTTGCCCTCAGAAAAATGATTATTAATTTATTTTCAGTAATAAAAAACTTCACCTTAAGTTAATCAGGATTACTTTAAATTTAAAAGTATACAATACATAAAACAAAATGACTTTTTTTAGAGATTAGTTTTGTATGATTAAACGATTGCTATAGAATGTTAACGGTCACAATTCAGGGTATAATTTTCATTTTGCTTTGTTACTAAACCAGGGTTGTTTTAAGGAATGATACGAATGAATATTATTGAATAGTTAGATATATAAAAATTCTGTGCTAAATTCCGGTGACTTAAGTTATCAAATTGAATAAAAAGTATTTAATTAACGATTGAAAATTTCAACAAGATATAGGTAGAGTGTGAACTAATAGAAGGAATTGAAAAAAAGGAGCATGGTATGAGACAAATATAAAAGTATACATTTGGTGACCTGGACCACACTTGCTGCCCCGTAATGTTCTTTATTGAATTTATCTGACACAGCAAATATAAAATAATTAAATACTTAAATGTGTGCAATAAGCTACTTTTTTGTTCAAATAGAGCTATAAGTTAAAAATTATCACTAATGTAATTTTAAAAATAGATGAAAAACTGTATAATTGAAAACAAGGACTAACGCTTAACCCATCAGAAAATTCCATTTCGTTTTTCCCTCATCCCTATTTAATGAATGAATTAGTATTTGAAAAAATTGTATTAAAATTAAGAGTCGTCCACTACAAGGTCAAAAAAATGTATTTGAACTTGTAGTGGATGAATGAAACGTATTTTATTCAACGATTGAAAATTTGAGCAAGACGTGGGAAGAGTGTGGACTAATACTAGGAATTGAAAAATACCAATTAATTTAGATATTTAAAAGTAATGTTTTTTCGACACATTTGAGAACCGGTTATGTGCGAAGTCTGAATCCCTTCACTAATTATTAACACGTTATTTAAATTGGATGATTTGTGTGAAGTTCATAATCGATGAGTTCTCATCTGTTTAATTTTGAGAAAAACTCTACTTACGTTGGACAACAGCTTGAACAACAGTTACTCTGCATAAACACCCAGGACATTGCCCTGGTGGTACATCTCGTAAAACTTCGCAACCAGGATCGCATTTTGGCTCAGCACATTTGGGATCACAGACGCAACTCAGGCAACCGTCACTATCCCTCACTTCCCTACAATTGCTTCCTGAACAGTCTGTGAGAGGGGGACATTGTCGCTCTGAAAGAGAGAAGTCGAAATTGTACTGAAGATTTAAATTTAATGCATGGGAGCTAAAAGCTTAACATCTCTCTCTCTTTCTGAGCGTGACTTTATTTATCCAATCAGCAACATTGAAGTTGCATCAAAAAGTGGAATTTGTTGTTCTTCTGTCTGACAGAGGGAGCACTGTCGCTCTGAAAGAGAGAAGCAAAAATTGCAACGAAGATTTATCCATGAACTTAGCGCATATGAGCTGAACGCTGGAGAGCTAATCTCTCTTTTTGATTTACAAAAAGATCAAATTTATTGTGTTTCTGCTTTTTAGAGGAAACACAGTTGCTCTGAAAGAGAGAAGCTGAAATTGCATCGAAGATTTATGTAAAAGCTTAGCATATATGAGCTAAAATCTTAGCAGCTAATCTTCTTTTCTAATTAAATTTTCAATGCTCAGTAGGCATTGGTGCAAAATATGTTCGCATTTATTCTTTGTTATTTTATACCGGACAATGAAAGCGCGCAGAAATTACAGAAAGTAAAGAAACGAGGAAGCAATATAATGTGGGAAGTAAAAATTCGATTTGAACAAAGAAGATTTTATACCAAATTGAGACAGCTTTACTGTTGAGTGATTTTCATAAACAGTAGTTTTCTTTTCCTTTCATATAAGATAAGATAAACTCTGAATTTAAAATATGTTTAGCCCAGTGGAATAAAAAGACACATTAAAATATTTTTCAAACATTAAATGATGCCTAAGTTTTTATCTTTTAGAAATTATGAAGTCGTTAAGTTCTCTCTAATTAATAAGTAAAATAGTATGCGATACAAAAGTTTTGCTTTTTCTGTTTTTAATATTTCAAACCTATTTTAAAGCCAATTTCGTTTTATTATTTAAGAAATTTGAATATTCACTCTTCGGGCAAAAGTTGCACTCTTGTTTTAGATTTTAAAGTTCATTTTATTTTAATATTTCTTAAAAAAGACTAAAACTTAGTTTCTGACAAAAATATGTTGCATATAATGTTTAGGGACGGTAAATAACTTCAAAATATACAAAAAGAGGCTATTATTTTTCCAAAATAAATACTCTTCGCTTTAATTTAAGTGCTCTTGGAAGTTGGGTCTATAATTTTGCTCCATAAAGTAGATTTTATGAAAAAAAGTAAGCTACTCTAATGCATATATATATATATANGCATCTAATAATCCGGTCAGGGACTATATATATATATATATATATATATATATTGATATATTTTATACAAAAAATACATTATTATTCCTTTAGTATTGTTTTTAAATTCATAATTGAAGAAATTAGTGGAAGATTTTGTTAAGTAGTGTTTTGAAAACTATTTACTTTTCATTTTTGAAAGAAAATTCTAGTCAACAGTGAATATAGAACATAGATTTACTTTGTCATATCTTTATATATGGCGATATGAATTGAAAAGTTTTGTTTCGAAAATCTTAATATTTTGAAGCTAATTTCTTTATCTATTAGCTAAAATTTACCACAAATTTTTCCACTAATTTCCTCAACTATCATAGACACAGCATGCTTACCAGAAACCTGGGTGCAGTCGCATACTGGACAACGTCCTTCAGAGTATGTTTTCGTCTTGACACAGTGAGATGGGCAGGGAGCGCACGGCGAGTCGCAGACACATTTTTGACAACCATCCCCACCTCTGATCAAGGAACAGTTGTAACCGTTGCAGTGTGGTGTTGGGCATTGGTAAGATGGACCTCGGGTGGAATACTTCATCGCACCGTAGGCTCCCACTGTGGGTGAAGCTGCAGAGAAAGAAGCAAATACATTTGTAGCTTTTGTGGGGTAAGGAAACTTAGAAGATGGCCTGCGGGGGGTAGAAGATACTCGATTAGAAAGATAGTTGTTAGTCGTGACTAAAACCTGCTCTTGACCAAATGGTCTATTAGAAATTTCTGGCTGATGATTGTCGAAATTTTCAACAATCAGTTGTTGACTCGGTGAGGTATCGGATTCATAAACCGGAGGAGGTGTGGTCGCTATTTCGGGATCTTCCCAATCGAAATCTTCGTATTCGAAGTCTTGTGGGTCTTCTTCCTCAAATTGAGGATCTTCTGCATCATCTTGCTGTTGAAGGGATGGTCTTGGGGGTCTTGATGGAGCCGGGAATAGGTCATGCATCACGGGAGGTTTGGTAGTTGTTTTCAGTTGTTGAAAATGTGGTCTAACGATACTCCCAGGTCGTGTCTTCACGCTTTGGATGTGCACAGGCTTTGCTGACTGAACTATTGCATGTTCCTGTTGATCAACTTGGTCTTTGGTAGATTCGTGTTCGAGATCTTCTGGATAGTCATTTGGTCTTTCTTCTGCTGGTATTTGAGGTGAATGCTGGTGCTCCTCAACTTGTTCAGTTTCTTGAGGTATTTCAAAAGAAACGTGCTCTTGATAATCAAGTGAGTCTTGTGCCGCGTCACCATCAACATGTTCTTGAAGTGGCTCGTTGCTTGGGGAATCCTCCTCTGAAACATGATGCTGGATGTGTTCTTGCCCATCATGATGTGATGCTTCTTGATATTCATTTGTTTCTTGCTCTTGCTGGGCTCCATTCAAATGAGTTTGGTGAACAACTTGTTGATGTTCAGTCTGTAATTGAGGTTTAGTATTTATGTTTGAACTTCCTTGATTTTGAATATATTGGTAGTCTGTTTGAACAAGTGGATCTTCTTTTTGCCCGACGCTAGTCACAGAAGATTGTTGCTGATGAATATATTGTTGTTGACTCTGACTAGGTACTTGATGAACATTAGTTTGTATATTTAATGGCATATTTTGATCTGAAACCGTTTGGTGTAAATGTGCTTGCTGTTGATAACTTATTTGTGAACCAACCAACGTTTGCTGTTGTTGGGAATTTGTGGGATCGCCAGGTCCTCTGGTTAAAGAATTTATTTGCTGAATCTGTGATTCTTGTTGGGGTAAATGCATTGTGTTTTCTCCAGAGGTAGAACTTTGGTGTTGGTGTGTATGATCATGAGATGATTGTTGAATGGTTGGTGAATGCTGCTGTGTTTCTGAATTATGTTGGGATGTAATATAAATCTGTTGCGGCAAAGTTGGTTCTTTATTAAGTTGTACTATTTGTTCCTGAGAATTGCTAAGTGGAACACTTGATTGTTGTGGTTGCAACACATGCTGATTTGAAGCTTGGTTGTTTTGCAAGAATTGCTGTTGTAAATACTGCTGTTGGGGTGTTAAATTCTGATTTGTCGTTTGATAGTTTTGATATACATCGCCAAACTGTGGTTGCTGTTGAACATTGGGGTTCAGAGGTTTTTGAATTTGCTGCTGTGGGGGAAGATATTGCTGCTGAGGTGGAAGATATTGCTGTTGAGGTGGAAGATACTGTTGTTGAGGTGGAACATATTGCTGCTGTGATGGAGCATATTGTTGTTGAGATGGAACATATTGTTGTTGAGGTGGAACATATTGTTGCTGAGGTTGAACATAATGTTGTTGAGGTTGAAAATTTTGGTTTAGTGTTTGTGGCGAGCTTCCAAGTTGTTGTGATTGTGTTTGTTGCTGCTGAAACTGTATACTGGGTGTTAACGGTGCATATATTGCTTGAGATGCTGAGTTTTGCTGGGAAACCAAATTCTGTTGCCCTTGGATATTTTGATTTAGGGGTTGATAAGATTGCGAATATTGCTGTTGAATTTGTGGTTGAATATGTTGATCTTGTGCTTCAACATTTTGGGGTGAAGAACTTATTTTATCTTCTTGAGTTTCGTGATGTTGTTGTGGCTGAATATATTGCTGTTGAGCTTGCGAAAATATTGTCTGAGGTTGAACATACTGTTGCTGTGCTTGTATTTGTTGCTGATGTTGAATATTTGATGGCATGCTTTGTTGCGCCTGAATCTGTTCTTGAGGCTTTATATTTGGCTGTAACTGAATCGATTGCTGAGGCACGATGTTTTGCTGTTGTTGACTATGCTGTTGAGATAGAATGTTTTGTTGCTGTTGACTTTGTTGTTGAAGTAAGATATTTTGTGGTGGTTGAGCTTGTTGCTGCAGAAGCATATTTTGTTGAGACTGGATGTTTAGATGAGGCTGAATATGAGCTTGAGATTGATAGTTCTGTTGAATTTGAATGTGGGGTGGTGATTGAATGAAATGCTGTTGATTCTGTATAAATTGTTGCTTTTGTTGCTCCGCAAATTGTTGCTGAAACTGGGAAAAAGAATTCATTTGTTGTTGAGTTTGTACCAGTGACGGTCTTAAATACTGATTATTGCCCATAGAGGTAGATTCATTTTGCTGCTCTTCATTTATTGCCAAATCCATCTGCGTAGAGGATTCTGATAAAAATGAGTTTTCGGGTTTAGACTCTTGAATGGAGATTTGATTTGAGGGTTTCATTTGATCGGGAATTTGTTGCTGGGCTTCAGCAGTCAGCAAATCTTCACTATTTGCTTGTACTATTTCACTTGCATCTGCACCATTAGTTTGAACTTGTTGCCATTGTTGTTGAGGTTTGACAGTTCCTACAATATTGGTTTGACCGTAGATATTTTCCAGGTAACTTTGAGTATGCGCTTGAGTATTATCACTTGAAATTGGCATCAGGGAATCAGGTTTTTCTGCAAAGGTTTGTTCTTGAATACCAAACACTTTATTCGGTGAAATCTGTGGGGAATGTTCTGTGAAAGTTTCCAAATTGGAAACTAATTGAACGTTACTTTGTCCTGTCATTTGATTGGATGTTTGGGGTACATGGTGATTGAATTCTGGAATAGGATCTACTTCAGAAATCGCTTCTTTGTTTGAAGAATCATGTATATTGATGATTTGATAATCAGGCTGCGGTTTTTTGTCTTCTGTGTGAGATGTTTCCTGAACTTTCTGCTGATCTGTGACTTGTTCTTGACTTTCTTCATAACTTAAGTCTTCTTGAGAGGATTTGTCAGGTTTAACTTTTTCCTGATTACTTGATAACCTGTTATCTTGCATGTTCCACTGACCATAATTACCTAACTGCTGCTGAGGCTGCAGCTGTGATTGTAGCAACTGCTGCTGGTAAAATGGATTGTTAACTTGATTTAAAATTTGTTGTAAAAATCCTAGCGTCTGTGTTCCAGCATTTAGTTGCTGCTGTAAAGACGGCGGTATAGGAATGTTTGTTTGGAGTAATGTTGCTGATGGAGGATATACAAGGTTCTGAGGATTGTGTATGAAAGTTTGTTGTGTGCCAAACATCGGTTGAAGTGATCCATGCAATGACGGTGAAAGACCCGGGAAGTAGGGATTTTGGTAGGGAATTTGTGGAGAAGATGCGCCATTGAATGGCTGATTACTTTGGAAAGCGAATGGTGGATACAACTGAAATTGGGAAGCAATTCCCTGATTTATTAACTGTTGATTTGATTGAGATTCTTCTTGTTGAGGAATTGCATTTAAAGTACTTTGACTCGTCGTCGCGTCGCCAGAAATGATTGAATCAGTTTCAACTATGGGAGAACTTTCTTCAGTAGAAACAACACTACTGGATATTTCATCAACTGAAACAGTAGTACTTTGAGCTATTCGAACATCAACTGGGGATTTTGTAACATCTTCAGGAGTTTTGTCAGTGGATGAAACATTCCTATAATCGAATCTATGAATGGAAGTATCTTCTCCGGATTGGATACTGGCGCTAGTTTGCAAAATATCTTTTTCTGGCGCATTAGGTGCTTGATGATTAGATAATACCTGGTGAAGATTTGTCATGAGCTGTTGGAGATTTTGCAATATGGGCTGCATGTTATTATTCTTAAAATTATTTTCAGAAACAATTTGTTTCATTGGGGTTGCGTTTGGATCACTTTGCTCGCTGACAGATGGTCTTTTCGACAAATCATCTTTCGAAATAAAAGCATTCACGGGTTTGAACCCATTATTGGGAGACACCGATATGGATGGGATTGTATCAGCGTGTTTTGTTTCATTATCCATAGCTGCGGGTCTAAGTTCCGTAATCAAAGGTGACACAATAGTGTCACCAGAATGTACCGGGAGATTGCCATTGGCACTTTCTTGTATAGCACCTGACTTTTTTAAGCAGGGTTCTGCTGTCGTTGTAGTTTCAGACGTTGGCATTTCTGATGATGTCGTGGATTCAACGTCACGTTTTTCTGTAGTTGTTTCAAAAATGTCGTAAGCATTTATTGTTGTGGGTAGGTTAACTGTCACCGTGGTAAGATCATCTGACGACCTGATACTTTCTTCAATGTCAGCTAAACTGTTGTAAAACCCTGTTGAATCTTCATCACTGTCAAGAACAATCGGACCCACATTAAAACTCGATTCTTGTGATTTTGGTGCTGATTCTTTTTCTTCTTGTTTTTTAAGCTCTGAACTATTTAAAATGGCCTTTTCTTGGTCTTTTGGAGGCTCTTCTTCTTCAGAAACATCAACGATTGTTGTTGCTGGTTCAATTGTCGTAGCTGGTTCAATTGTTGTAGCGGGCGATGTTCCTGAAAGATTCAAGAAACAGGAACATTTTCAAGGAGCAAGCATAACTATTTTTTTTATTTTCTGATCAAAATAAAATAGAGTTTTTGAATCATAAAAAATCTATGCCATAAGCTAAGGTTAGTTTGTTAATGCTATTAGTAAGATTCAGACTTTTTCATCCTTGTCAAAGATTCTGGTTTTCTAAACTTTTACCAGTTCAAAGATATTTTCCTTGTAAAATCAAATGATACGTTAAGCACTTTACTTAATAATACGTTAAGCAACTCTTCTTTAATCAGCCGATACGGAAATCCATTCCGAAAGAGTTTCGTTTTTCTGAAAGTACTTGGACAGCTTAATTAGCTTCCAAGTTTTCAGGCTTCAAAATTTTTAATCATGATTTAGCAGATTTGATAATTCATTTCCACGGACATTGGCTGTAATTTTTAGATAAAGCTTGAATAGTGGAAGTAGTTATAACTTCTAAGTTTTAGATATGAAAATTACAGCCACGAATCAACAGAATCATAAATCATATGTCCGTAAGTTCTATGATAAGTTCCTCAAATCGCTTGGGTTCGTTGAATTATTTCTGAAGAGCTTGGTTAGCTTAATAGATGAAAGTATTGATAACTTCCAAGTTTTCAGATTCGACTTAAAATCACGAATTAGCAGATTTAAAATCTTATTTCAATTAAGTTCTTCTATAGTATGATGTGAAAAAAATATATAATAAATTAGAAACTAAGTAATGATAACTTCAAATTGCACCGATTTGAATATTAACTTTATGAGTGAACTCCAATAAAATTAATCTGCAATTGAAACTGTCTAAAAGTAGAAGAATTTATAAAGAAGAACGTATAGTTTCATCTACAAATCAAAAATATACTCGAAAAACTGATCATATTTGAAAATTAATCTTGATTTCATATTGCAGTCTAAAACACAACCGTCTATCTTGGATAATGGAAGCTCAAAGCCTATTTTTTAAAGCATGTCTTAGGTTTTGTAATATAATTGATGATTATTAATAAATTCAAAACAAATTAGCTTCTGTAAAACAATACTGTTTTCGAAAGTCTGAAAGAAGCTTTTCGCAATTAAGGATTTAAATAAGTGAAGCCTTAAAAAAATCAGAGCTTGCTCCTTTCAAACGCTGTTTCTGTTTTTTGAATTTAATAACGATTTACCGCTATGATGCTAAATTTATTATACTGAATTGTTTCCCAAATTATTCATTGGTTTCCATAACTTTCCTCTGATGATTCAGCACCATTTTCAGCATAGATGATAGTTTCATAAAGTTCATTTTTTTCCATCAAATAGTCGAACACTAGTCCTGCTTTGAAAGTTTTGCATCAAGAGAAAGTGACAAATGCATTCACAAGAAAGATATAAAAGCACAGTAGTCAGTAGGGTTAGTATTGCATATATTAGAAATTATAGTCATTTTAACGAAAAAAACATATCACATCAAAAATACAATGAACATTTTAAAATAAACACCAATACATTAAAATAGAAAACTACTTCCGATTTATAACTTCACGTTTCGAGCTTCCAAAAAACGACGCTCCATTTCGAGACTAGGATGATGAAAAGTCAAAAGCAGGTTAGAAGCAATAAAAATTAATGATAATAAATGAATGAGCAGAAAAACAAGAGACCACCTGGTAGTTGAGGGGATGGCTGATTTTCATAGTTAGTGTACGCAATGGCAATAATTTTGTGAATAAATTTGAGAAATTAGGTTGTAGTATTCAAAAACATAATTTTTAATTTTCAGTTTCATAACAAAAAAATTTTTACGAATTTCTGATGCTTTATAACAAAAACAATTTACTATAACTGTAACAAAAACAATTTTCATGCATTTCTGTCTCTGAGAATTTTATTTCCATAATATTTTAATCTCTTTTCATTTCTCTATTGAATGCAGTTTTTGTTAATATAAATTTCTGATATGCATTTCATACAATATATTAATTCAGCTTTATTTCAAATTAAAAATTCATTGAATGTTTTAAAATATGCTATTAAGTGAATTAAATTCAGTATGTTTTAAAACATTCAATGAATTTAGCATATTGCAACATATTCAATAAAAATATACATTTTTAAAACACTGGTCGTTCAAAAACAAATTAGAATACAATAAATTATACAGTTTTAAAATACAAACTCAAATGATAATAAAACTATTTTTGAAATCATTATCGCAAGATTATACTTTATTTATTAACTAAAACTTTATTCTATAGAGAAATTAGAAGAGATTAAAATATTTATTATGGAGACAAAATTAATCGCAGTGCGTATTCAGTTTTAAATCTAATTTATTAATAAAGCGAAATTTCATAATTTATTCCTAAAACAATTTAATTAGGATATTGTAAAAAGTTCTGCTCATGAAAAAAATTTCCGAGTCTCGTATAAAGGAAAGAACATTCAAGGTGTTTCGTAAAGGCCACCGTTAATGTATATTCTTAGAATTCCTGTTAAAAATGAGATAAGACAATCTGCATATTAATCAAATGAAATTATATTAATTAGCGAGAAAGGAACAAAAGAACAATCGCAATCTATTGAATCACTACTATTGGAGGTATTGAAAATATTTTAACTCGCTCAATAACTAGAGGAAACATAAGTTTGCGAAATGAATATTCGAGATAACTTAAAGGAAAAAATAGTTTTTCATCTCCCCTTTGTCGCTAATGATTTGACAGATTTCGACAGCGCATTCTGTTTCTTTTTTTGTCTAAATCTTAATTCGAAATCCCCTAATGTCTTTTTTTAATATAATTTTCAAAAATGATTCTAATATATAAGGGTCATGACACACCTCTCTCTACATAATCTCCCCTGACAATTCAAGAGGAAAACGAGAAGAGATTAAAGTATTATGAAGATAGAATTGAATCTAATTTATTTTTGTACTAATGTTTTGTAAATAAATGAAGCAGTAGAATCATAGCTATTATATGCAGCTTTAATTTAACATATTTTGTATCAGGCAGAATATTCTAGTATATTATCAAGTTCATTTCAATAATTGACGAAACAATCTTTATTCTTACGTTCAACTTAATTTTTTTATCCTTATATTTTTATTTGAAACAGAATGTTTAGCATTCTATCAAAGTTATTGTATCCTGGAATAATGGGTGGAATAGTAGAGGCAGTGATTTTAGAAGTACAAGCTTTAATTTTTATTCTACTATGAGACTGAATCCTTTAGTATAGCTTCAAACTTCTTATATCCTGGAATATTGTGTGGAATAGCAGACTTTTTACAATCAGCTTAGATTTTTTTATTGGATGGAATAATGGGTGGAACAGGCTAGATTTTATATTCAGTTTTAAGTATTATATGCATATATGTATCAGAGATAATTATTTATCATATTATCAAGCTTATTGTTGTCTGGAATAATTGTGAGTGAAAGAACAAGCTTGCTAGTTTTATATTTAGCTCTAGTAATTTTAGCTTTATATTTCAATCCAAATAACATGTTCTAGCATGCAATGAAGTTTATTCTTACCAGGAATAATGGGAGGAACAACGGTGCTCCTGTTTTCGCAGACGCAAGTCGGGCATTTTCCAGGGGGTGAATTTTTATCCATGAAGCATCCATCTTTGCACTTAGGTGGAATACAGATGGAATCACATTTGCACTGAGGACAGCCTTCATCACCAATCACATTGTAACAGCGACGTCCGGCACATTTTGTCCTCGGGCAGACTCGACCCTCAGCTACAAAAACAAGAGCAACATAATGTAATTTAAAAAAACCCATTAAATCGGACATTAGTTTAAATGTAGCAAACTCAGGTTTTTGAGCAACAATTAGATGTACATTTAAAAGTACCAATCAATTTAAATGTTTAATCGATTGAAGGTGTATGCATAATTTTGAAAGAACAGCTTATTAGGAGTGTCCCCAATACAAAAAAAAGCAAAATACAAACTACACTAGTGAAATACTTTAAGAGAATTTGCATATTTTATCGGATTTTATGAAAAGAAGTGAATTATATGTAAAACCATTGCTTCTAGACAAAAATACAAATCTTGTACATCAAATACGTAAGTGAACACGTGTATGTAGGCGGAGTCAGTAGAGAAATAGGCTTTATACGTGAGCGTAAGTTAAGACGCATTTCTTTCGCTAACACATCCTAGCGAATTTCTTGGTGTTATTTTGCAGCAATAGGTTAAATTCAAATAACAGTAAAAATGAGTAACCACCAACGTTTAGAGGATGAACTGGCGAATTGAGGGGAGGCAAGAAGCAGGCCAATCTCAGATTTGTATAGAGTTCAATTTAACGCCCAGCGCCGTATGTAACTTATAGATACAGATCTACGATCCATCGAGAAAAAACCTGAACAAGGTCATCCAAGAGCCACGACGACTAGAGCAGATCGTCATTTTTCCATTACTGCGAGGCGTAACAGAAAGCTACAGCTTCTCCGCTGCAGTTGTAAATGCTTGTTAGTTATATCAAAAACTCCTCCCTCGAAGAAAAGGTCCAAATACTTGATCCAGGAGTTTTCGCGTCTTCTAGGTTGGGTTCAAAATTACAAGGCTACGGAGTTGAACATTAGTAGTCGGAAATCGCCGTAACTCTTCTTTTTGAAATTGTATCTGTTTTCATGGGCTTTGGACAAACTCTGGTACTTATCATCATAATTTATTTTTTACCTTTTTTCAATATTTTTTGATGCCTTGCCTATTATGTTTGAACACTCAAACTCCTAAATTCTATTTTCTGAGTAACTACTATTGTTAATTTTAAGATTTCAAAAATTTCTTTGAGGTCTTCTGGTGTTGCCATGAATCGCCACCAAGACTACCTTTTTGAATCCTCTTTTTTTTACTGAGAGGTCATATGCGCGTCTATTTTTTACTGAGAGGTCATATACGTCTACAGTATTCTCCGAATGACGGGGTCGGAACATGGTTAAGCTTTGATTTGATTAGTAGTCGGAAACCCGAAAATTGGGGCTTCTGTTCAACGACGGTCGCAAAATTATAAGAATTACCTACCACTTTAAATTTAATAAAATACTATTCCTTGCGTGATTTCAGATGAAAATAATTATATTAATAATATATTGTGTAGACAGAACGATCTTGTTTCTACGAACTAAATCTTAAAAAAAGAATAACTATTTTATTATTAAGTAAAGAAACTGTATATTTTTAATGGATTCTAGTCAATACATAATAGTTTACCTCCTCTTATGATTCCACAGAAGCATGATGGACATACTTCATCATCCCATTTCATTACCATACAGCCGATGGCACACATAGGTATGGGACAACGTGGCTCTACGTCTATGCCTAAGTTTAATTGAAAAAAATAGAACTTAGGGAAATGTCACAATGAAAAACAACAAATGAAACACACCTTTAGAATATACTTACAGACAGGTATAGTTGGGCACGGAGTCCGGATGCATTGCAAGCGTCTAAGAACGCACTTTTGTCCTTCAGGGCAATTCTTTTGCTAGATAAATTAAGAGAAATTTCAAGTTCATTTCAAAGACTTCTGTAGTGTGTCTACCAATGCATAACTAGCTCTCCCAATAACTTTGATTTAGTTTTAAAATATTCCATCTTAACTCGACCAGGAAAAAAAACTTCACGGATATTAGATATTTTAGAAATACACATTATCACAAGATATTCCCATCATTGACTTGTTACCATTTAATGTTGCAAGGAGCTGAAATGAAGGATAAACTCTTTCCAACTGTCAGCAACGATACAATCTTCTAAAGTTTAAATACAATTTCAGCAAATAATACCGTTCAGACTGAAGTAAACTAATCGTTTCATCATATAAGTAGTTATCATGAATGTAGGCTACCGAAATAAATCTTGAAATCTATCAACTGAATTAGCCGTTTAATAAAAAAAAAAAAAAACTAACATGAAAGATGATGCTGGATAACATTAATACTCCTCTGGTGAGACTCAGGGGATAGAGCTACAGTAGGGTGAACCGGGTTCGAATCCCACCGATGTTGGGTCGATACGAATTCCGCATCCAGCTTGCACCGACCACAGTGCTGGCCTGAAATATCCTCAGAGTTAGACGGATCATGGGTTAGAATCCCCTAGCAGTCAGGGTAACCATGGGAGATTCGCGTGATCTTCCTCTCCATGTAACGTAAATGCGGGATAGTTCTTTAAAACAGTCCACCACGAAGGTAAATTTCTCCCAATACTCGATCCAGAATGTTCCTTGTCTTCTGGATTGGGATCAAAATGACAAGGCTCCGAAGTTGAACATTAGTAGTCGTAAACCCTAAAATTGGGTCAGCTGTTTGACAACGGTTATAAAATAAAATAAAAATCCCACATCTACCCAAATTAGATCTTCAATGGTGCACAATCGGCCTTCGAGTACTATATTTTGACAATATTATCGGCATTCGAGAAATTGAAGAACGCACAGAGCAAAGTTTGACATTAATCTGAAGTATACCCTCATTTTTGAAGCAATAAAATCACCCTCAAATTGAAAGGTTTATTTTATATGAAAAATATCTAGTTCTTGTGAACTATGCTTTACCCCAAAACCATTTTTTAGCAGTTTTCGCATCCCTTCGCTGCTATTTTACTTTAAACGCCCCTCGCAAAAAAACAAGAAAGAGAGCAAAATCGATTTTACCAAAAGGTCAAATTAATATGAACTAAACTCGGATTATGAAAAACTTCAATTCCAGCTTAAGAAATTAAGAGAATTCGTGGACTTTGTCGATTATCTCTAGAACTACTAGACCTACTTTAAAGAACAATATACAATATATACAATATACAACATTTATAGAATACAATAGGAAGCAAATAATCATTCAACGATTGTAATACACACGCATGATCATAGCACTCTTTGGAAGATATGAAACAACGGTTGCAGAATGGAAAAAAAGGGTTAATAGAGGGGTATGGTTCCCTCTTACAGATATATAAAGGGTTTCATACTTGAAATAAGGCAGTTTATAGTTTCTTGTGGCAATTGGCTTGAATTGTCCAGTGGCAATTTCATACCTTCCGACTCTAACGAGTGTTACACACGATCATGTGTGCGTATTACAGTTGTTGAATGATTATTTGTTTTGTATTGTATCCATGTATGTACAGATCAAATTTCATTAAAATCGGTCCAGTAGTTCTAGAGATAATCGACCCAGTCTGCAAATTCTCTTAATTTAACCAGTGCAGTTATTAAGCGATGAATTCAGCTAAGAACTTAAATAAGACGGTTTTGGAAAGAAAAGAAAAATGTTCTTACACGATGCTTCTATAAAAGTGTAACAAAACTTAATTTCTTACAACAGTGTAGAGCTACTATCCAAGAAACTTACTAGAGTTTTTTTTTATGAATTTATCTTGTCTACCCCTTCGAACATGTCGCGTTATAGGCAAAATATCACAGAATAAAAATTAAAACTTTATACCATTGTTTGTACAAAATAGGTATATGGGAGGTACTCCTCACTGAAAAATATTTGCAAGAACTAAACTCATTTCAATAACATTTGAACTCACTGCACATTTTCCTTTATCGTCAGGTTCATCCAGAGTTTTTTCTTCTGCTTCTTCTGGGATATAATCAGCATCTTCATCTTCTCGTACAATTCCGCTCTCCAGTTCTCCAGGTATGACATCATCCACATTGTACAGGGCAGATTCCAGGGGCTCACCAAACACTGGATAGGCGTGACCTCCGTTGTAATGGTAACCTGGCATGCCAGCGTATTCTCCGTCCTCGTCATCACCGTGAATAAGGAAAATCTTGTCGACGCCTGGCACCAATTCTTTTCCTGGCAATGGTATGAAATCTGCTTCCAAATCCTCTCTCTTTTCTAGTTCCATATCATCCTCTGTTGTCGTTTTCTCGGTGGTTGGTTCCACTGTTAAACAAGGAAAATAAATACATTTTGGAACGAACACTATATTTATCAAAATAATCCTATCTGCGATAAATGAGCAACAGGCAAAAATATAGTTTGTATATTTATTAATTTAATGAAGCAAATAGCGGAGCTCGATTTATGAATACGTCTAAGGGCAATTGAATGACATTTTTAAATTTGTGAACTGTAATCGGTTGTTATAGTATTACTAAAAAGTGCAGCTTTTAATTTCGAAAACTTGTCTAATATACTCATACTCCTTTAGCTTGTTTTGACGTATATACATACCTATTTACTTTCTTTTGCAGCTCTGCTTGCTATAAATTTCTTCTGTTTTTGTTTACAAAATTTAGGAGGCATCATTTGAAATGCTCTAAAGAAATGCTTATTAAGAAATATCATTCCAGTGTCAACGTTTTCTTAATGTCTTAAAACATCCTCAAACCTTATCCCTTAAGCACAACTTCCAATTCCGAAAAAAAAAGGAAAAGTTTATTGGGTGTTAAGTCTAGAGATGATGATGAATGTAGCAATCGTTCTTTACTCAGAATTTTCATGTTAAGTCCCGCCATCAAAAAAAAAGGAAATTTTGATTCTGGGGAAGTACGTTTTTGAATCTGTACATCGGTTAAAAAAAAGGAAAGTGGGTAAAGCACTCCCACACATTCTGTTGTGAACCGGGGGGATATGGAAATTAAAGCATCACAATTTCATGATTAAAGAATGGCAGTTCCGTTGAGCAGCGGTCGCTTTTACTTTCCAGATAACCTGGTATTTTATCAATATTAAAGCCTTGGTTATTCACAGTGAATGTAAACTCATAGGATGATTCACGTATTGAAAATGTGTTCATCTTGCAATTAAGATTGCATGTCAGTTACATAAAAACTGGAGATTAAAATTGACTTTGCTCGACATCTATTTCTTATTTTTCTGTGTAAGGCAATAGTTGTTCAAATACTACAGATGATGTTGCTTACCAGTTGTGGTGGTACTTGTGTGTTCTCCGTAAGAGCATACACATCCTCTGCACCGCCCTTGCGGTACATTAGTTTCCAACTTGCAGTGGGAAGGACACTGGGGAGATTCCTCGCAGGGACTTTCACACATACATTTTTGGCAGCCTCCCTCTACGGTAATGACGCTGCAGTTGTAGCCCAGGCACGTGGGTGCTGGGCATTCCTTCCCTGTGTTATCTGAAAAGGACGCATTCAATTTATATAACAACTTTTTACAGTTAGTTCAGCAGAGTTTCTTAAGGTTTATGGAACAGTTTTCGTCGAAGTGTTCTAATCAGAAAATATTATTTGATTTCATGACATTGCTTTATTTTATGTTGTTTCGTAACCGTCGTTGAACAGCCGATTTAATTTTATGGGTTTACGACTACTTATGTTCAACAACGTACCCTTGTCATTTTGAATCCAATCCAGAAAACAAGGAAACTCCTGGATCAAATATTGGGAGAAATTTGCCTTCGTGGAGGACTTTACAATAGAACTAACCCGCATTTCCGTAAAATGGAGAGGACGAGAACTTTTCACGGAGAGCATGACGGCAAGGGGACTCAAACAAATGATTCGTCCACCACTAAGGATATTTCAAATCAGCACTGTGGTTAGTGTGAGCCGGATTCATATCGACCAGCCATATTAATTATTTTGTAAAAATACTGTTTCCATGACAGCGCACGTTATAAACTATAAAAATGTTGTATAAAAATGTTTCTCTCAATAAAATGTTGTATTTTCGATACCGTGACCAAACCACATAACATGGAAACAGATGATTGTTTCTAAGCCAACCCTTAAAAATTTGTAAATTCTTGGGGAAAAAAAAACACGATTAAAATTGTTGCTCCCGTTTTCGACTGGTTAGAAAACATACATCCAGATAGACGTTCGCTTTTCTATATAAAGATAAGTATGTTAAAAAAAATTATCTATTTAAAAAGAAACATTTAAAAAAAAATTAAGTTAAAAAAATTTCAAGAATTGTTGCGTTTAATTTTTTAAGTAACTAAAAATATTATGCTATAGTTTTAATTTGTTTTGTTGCTTTATTTATTTAAAAAGAAACAAGTAATATTAGAAAAAAATAAATTAAAGTCCATTCCTACATAGGTCAATGAAGAAAAATTTTACTTTAGTTACTTTTTATTGAATAATTTCAATTTTTTCTCCCATATGAAACTGAAATTAATTAAATTTAAGGAATTAAATTTAATTAATGAATTAATATTTGAAAAATTTGTATTAACAAGTCTAATAGAAGTTTAAAAAAAATGTATTTGAACTTGAGTGGATGGATAAAAAGTATTTTATTAAGGACTAGCCGCCTAAGGCGGCCAACTGTCCGCCACTCTAAAGGTTTTCACAAATAAAGTTTTTTAAAACATAGCAGGNAATGAAAAAAAAAACGTCTACCTTTAACATTTCTTTTGCATTTTCTGTTATGAAGTGTTTGAAAAAATTAAAATTCCATATTTTTACATGAATTATTCCTCTTAGGAGGAATTTCCTTTACACTGTAGGACAGGGATGGGCAAACTACGGCCCGCTGCCAACTGTGGCCCGCCGGAAGATTTTATCCGGCCCGCGGATAGAATTTTTATTTGCCGATCAGTGGCAAATATAAATAATATACATCCATTTTCTTGTCGACTATGTTTCAAATGATTTCTGTTTTTCCTTTTTTAATAAAGTACTGATGAAATTTTTACTTTCTCTATTTTTGTTCTACAAAACATAAATTGATGTAAATAGTTAGCACAGACAGCTTCAATTGGTAAAATGTTGAAAGCAGAAGTTCTTTGTAGAATAGCCACAGATTGGCTCCAACTAGCGTTTGTCTTTCTCGAGGAGCTGACTTATGGAATCTAATACAGGTAAATTGTACTTCACATTTGGCAGACTGCGCATTTCACGCTCCAAAGAGCGGACAATCTAACAATCATCTGAAGCAGTTATTTCTAAATATTCCAAAGTTTTANTCGAGGAGCTGACTTATGGAATCTAATACAGGTAAATTGTACTTCACATTTGCCAGACTGTGCATTTCACGCTCCAAAGAGCGGACAATCTAACAATCATCTGAAGCAGTTATTTCTAAATATTCCAAAGTTTCACAAATCATTACCAAAAGCTAGTTTCCAAAATTTAATATTTCATGCCCAGAAAATCAGTGCTATGTTTGCTTAATATTATATACGAGGGTTGTAAATTAAATAGTGGCAACTTAACTTTTAAACTCACAGAAGGACGGGCATGCGTAAATAGGGTATGGGAGCTGTGAGGTGGGACTGTTGTCGATGTGTAGAGTGCAAAAAAAAGTCGATTAGCTTGGAAGGGTAGTTGTTGTGTGGCGTTAAAGTGAGGAGTTTCGTTTCCATCGCTCTAAAGCATGTTTTCAAAAGGTGATCAGCTGTCGTGGCTTACAATTGAGGTTGCCCGTGGCAAAAATGCAACAGAATGCTATCGAGGATTAGTGAAAGCCTTTGGAGCAAATGCTTTACCATATAGGACAGTAGCACGATGGATTCAAGCATCTCGTCTTTTTTCGTCATTAAGCCTTTTCACAACATGCTTTAGAGCGATGGAAACGAAGCTCCTCACTTTAACGCCACACAACAATTACCCTTCCAAGCTAATCGACTTTTTTTGCACTCTACACATCGACAACAGCCCCACCTCACAGCTCCCATACCCTATTTACGCATGCGCGCTTTTTTGTCAGTTTCAAGGTTAAGTTGCCACTATTTAATTTACAACCCTCGTATGTGAACAAGAGTTTTCAACTGTGAACCTTAGAAAAAAATCACTTCAGAAGTAGACTAACAGAAAAGCATTTAGCCTTGTTCCATAAAATAAGCACATCTCACTTCTAACCTTAATTTAAGGAACTTTTAAAAATGAAATCGCAATTTCCTTCATCTCACTAAATATTTAAATTAAAACTTGTGTATCACCTTTTTTTAAAAAAATTTTGAAGTTTTCACTTGGCCCACCAAACATTTTTTTTCTTGATTTTTGGCCCTAGACCAAAAAAGTTTGCCCATCCCTGCTGTAGGATAATTAGTTATAAGAACGTGATTCGTACAATAATTATTCATCACAATAATAATACGAATTAAAAATGTAATAAATAATTGTAAGAACTTCAGCAATAATTAATTTGAAAAATACGCAAAGAAATTAAGTTTTGAAAAATGCTTTCTCAGTATGAAAAAGGTTACTAGCAGGGGGAAAGCAATAAGGTTTCTTACATTCAAATCATGTTTACCTCTAAACAGATGCATGAAATTTTTAGTTTGAGAAGATGCTTTAACTATTACTGTAAAACCTCGCGACAACAATATTTTTGAGACCCAATAAATATATTTTTGTAGAGGGATATATTGTAACATCAAGGGCTTACATACTTTTGGGACACAATAAGATTTTTTTAAAAATTTTAATGTTATATAATGTTATATAACTATGGTTGGTTGGTGTCGTATCCTGTATTGAATCATATTTCATGGTGTGCTTGAATAGTTTTTGTTATTTCTATGGCATTAAATGAATACAAATCCTCTTCTGTGGGGTAGTTTAAGAGGTGAAGGCCAGCAGCGACTGCAGGGCAGTTAAAACATGATATGGTGTCAGTTCCACATTAGGACAGTTGCCACAGTTTTGATATTTTCTAGTCCCATCTGTAGAAATTTTCATGTTTTTATGATGTTTTGTTTTAGTCTGATGAGAGTAGTGGCTGTCTTCCTATTGATGTCAAGATTAAGTATTTGATCGTGGGCTTTGATTTTTAAAGGGGGGAATAGTCTCGACTTTGCAAAAGCATTTGCATCTACCAAACGTGGTTGGGATTGTATAACTATAAATATATACATTAATTTGTGGATAGGTTAAATATTAAAAACAATTGAAATAAAATAAGATAGCTAAAATACCTGAAAACCGCTTCTATCGAAAATAATGCGTTATTTTTGTTTGTTTATTCATTCTTCTGAGTGTCAAGTCAACCCACAAACTATGCATTGGATTCAAATTTCGTTTGTGAATGGTGCTCCACCCACCCTCGGCGGAAAAAATTCTCTTTCAGATATAAATGTGATGTTTGTGGTCATTTGTGACTCGTGATCAGCTTTTAACATGAAGGAAAATGAATCAGATAGGAATGTGACATCTGTGACTTCTTAAGAGATGAGGGAAGTAATTCTAAGAATGGAAGCTCTTGGAGTGGTCAGCAGTGAGTCTTCTCTTATCAGAAAACAATGAAAAAATGGCAAAAAATGATAAAATATGATTTTTTTACATTATTTAAAAACTAATAATAAGTGGAGAAAATAAGGTAGAAATTTAGAGGAAAAAATCGTTTTACAGGGGTTTGTTGCTTCAGAGAATATCGTAATATTGAAAACAGAATAACATTAATTCATATAAAAGTTCGTCGAGACCACGAAGCATTATCGTAATAGACGGAGTTATTGTTGTATCGGATATCGTAGTAGCGAGAGTTCACTGTATATATTGAGAGCATGCAACAAATAAGTCTAAAAACATTGAATCTTAAAAATCTTTATATAGATTTTTCATGAAGCAATAATACGATAGAATATGTAGCTTCAAGTAGAGAATAATAAAAAATTATATAAAAAAAAATAATGAAACAAACTTATTTCACCTCTTGCAGATCTGGACAGTTTGCAAATGCAACCTGGACAACGTCCAGATTCAGCTACTTCCGTTTCCACTTTGCATCCTTCCTGACATACAGGTACAGGGCAGGATTCCCTGCAGTCGCAAATGAGACATCCATTTTTGTTTTCAAATACGCTGCAGTTAAGACCCTGACAAGATTGAGGCGGACAAGTGTCTGAAAGGGATTTAGACTGCAGAAGTGTTGCGGCTGAAAAACGTTAAAAATAAATGAATGTAATTATTAAGAAATCAACACAAAACTCTTTTTTTTTAAAACTCGAACAAAATGCTTTAATTTTCTTAATTGCATCAAAAATTTAAAAAAAAAAGTATATTTCATATTACTCGTAAGACAGTTAAAATACAAAAGAAAAGTTAATAAATGAGTTAGAAGAATTTAGTGAAGACTTTATTCTCTAAATAATAATCTGCGACCGATGATTTCAAAATTCAATTAAAATGTAAGAATATAAAAATGTACTGTTTGCTTCGTGTTTCGTTGAACACAATAGTTGAAATAGTAATACAAAACTTCAAAATGAAATAAATTGTTAGTCAATAGATGGCACTGTTAAAAAACTGTTAGCGCTCTAATCGACTAACTTATATTCCTCCTCTAAGCTGATAAAACAAACTTGAGATTTTTTTTTTAAATGGTGATAGTTGCTCGAATGGCATGATAGCAAAAATAATTCGGGACAGTTTAAGAACAAACTGACAGACATTCATTCCTATATTTCAGTTTGAGTCATCAGAGAGGGAAAAAAACAATTTTTAAATTTTCTGCTTTTTGCTCCCTTTGTTGACAATTCATGAAACTAATTTTTAAACTACATGTAAATAAAACTTTGTTTCCTTCTCCTTAAGTTTCTGTTTAATGTTCGAAATCGTTGGTTATTTTTACGAAACTTAATAGATTAGAAACGTGAAGCACATAATCCAGCTTGAGAGAAATTAGTGTACTAGCTATGCTCTTAGCAACGATAGCACTAAGGGACTAATATATGTATTGAGGACTCATACATGCCTCACCTTTTTATGACGTTACTTATCACTTAAATTGTTCTGGTTCATGCCATGATAAGGCAATAAAAATAATTGATCAATTACGTTTCACATCTACAACTAAATAAATTTTATATGTAAATAAATTTTATTGACGCAAATTATTCCTGGAATTTTTTTTTTGTCGCAGGGTCGTTTGCTGCTCAATTGGAGAATGAGTCTGTTAGTCGAAAAAGAGTATGTTCTGACAACCGGAAAAACATATTGGTTGGAAAAGCTCGTTTCATAGAGCAATGGTACCACATTAACTCCGTAATGCGTTGGGTGAAATTTTGTCACAAAAAAAAAATTATTTTGATCCAACGAAGTTTTTTAAACTCTTTCTTAGCGTTTTACTTTTCCTAGTCGATTCCTAATTTTCCCAAAACAAAGAATTTGACTGGAGAGTTATTTAACGTAAGAACTACAGCCGTAGAAAGTTTTTTCTGGGTGATTTCTGAATAATCTCCCAAGTGGTCATGGATAAAACTAGAAACAGATTCCTGAATGATGATTAAGAATGACAACGATTTATAGCATTACACCGTAGCATGATATAATTAATACGGACCGTGGAAATATTTTTAAAACTTTCATCAAGCTTTTGGACTCATGTCTCAATAAATATATTGAATGTATATAAAAAAAATAGTATGTGCCTTAGAATTAAAGATACAAATATAATGCTGTAATAAAATATATTACAATAGTAGAGTGACGGTTTTAACTAACCCGTAGAAGAGTTTTTGCAAGTGCATCCACATTCTAAGCCAATATTGTCTCGTAAGTCTAGATCCATGTCACACCCTACTGGGCACTGTCTTGGCTTACAAGGTAATTGACAGGTACAAGCAGCACATCCGAGAGTATCTATGATCATTGTACAGTTGTACCCCGTACATTGAGAATGAGGACATACTCGTTCTTCTGAAAAAACATGTAAAGATGGAGATTTTCTGTTAAAATATTTTTTTCTATATACATTACATGCTTTATATAAACGTAAGTAATAATGAGTTTCTTCTTCGCATTTATTTGAAATAAGGCAAAGCATCCAATTTCACATATTTATAAAACTTAGAGATTGTAAGATTGCGAAGCTACGCTTCATCCTTACATAGTCTGAATGAAGTCTCAACTAAAAAAAAAAAAATCTAAATGTACCTAGATTTCCTTGTGGACACTTGCAAACTGGACACCCATGTTCATCTCGTCCACTCAAAATGCAATTTTCTTCGCATGATTGTACACGGCATGTCAATTTATAGGACTGGCCTGGAAAGACAGATATTTCATACAGTTTTTCAAAAACATACTATCAGCGTATTCAAGATTTTAATCAAAAATATTTTTTAATAAAATTTATGATATCAATCAAATCTTGTAAAAAAAGACAATGCTGTACTGCTTATTGTATATTATATCAAAAACTTCGTGGAATAAGTTAAGTGACGCTGTACCAGATGGAGATTTTCGAATCGGATTTCGCACGTGTTATAATCCTTATGAGGGCTGATTGCTTAAACAAAAAGTTACTTAAAATGTGTGCAAGTGTATTTAGTTACGCATAAATACAAACAGTCGTCAATTATCTAAATATTATTTAAATTTTGTTGGGGAAGCCGATTCATTTCATCATATAGATACATTAATAATACTTTATAGTTATATACTTGATGTTATCTCTATGCCGTGCATATCCCAAAAAACCAAGTACATTTGTGGTACATCACCCAAGATCCCACTGTTTAAAGCTGCGCGCAAGAGCTCTTCAAGCACCTTTCACCATAGTGACCCTATTGACTAGATCTGCTATGTTTGAGGCTTCATAAATCGGAAAATATGTCTTTTCGGACTTTGCGTCTATGAAAATTCTGGATCAGATTGTTTTAAATTATAAAATATAAAATTTTCAGTCAATTTAATTGAGAATTAATTTCCATATGATTTGTCCTTTAAGAAAAGATGTTACAAAGCTTAATTGTGAGGGTTTATGGAACACAAACAGCAATGTGGGGTCGGATATCACGAGAGAGTACCTGTTCGGTGATCAATTTTTCGAACAAATCGTCTGTCTTTTGATATACGTGGATGTGCAGCAGCTAATGGTCACTTACTTGGGCATTCGTCGTAAAAGTTTCAATAATAAAAATTATTTTGACCTCGTTACTCGATTTTATTGCATTAAAATTGTTTGAAAATCTTACAATTCTGATCAGTAGTTTTGTTATACTTTTATAGAAGCATCATATATTTTTTTTTCTTTTGAAAACAGCCTTATTTAAGTTCTTAGCTGAACTCATCGCTTAAAAACTACACTGGTGTAAAAAATTAGACTAAGAAACCAGATAAAGTGTACTAGTGTAAGACATGTATAGTTTTTTTATACTTATATGTTTGTACCGCTATTTGTCAGTCTGTTATACATAAAATACACTTGTGTAAGAAATGGAGAGAATTTGCAGACTGCGTCGATTATTTCCAGAACTACTGGAACGATTTTATTGAAATTTGATCTGTGCATACATTTGATACAATACAAACAAGGCCGGACTAACCTATAGGCACACTAGGCACGTTCCTAGGGCCTACGAAATTCAGGGGCCTACGAAAAACTTGGGAGAAAAAAATTTGTTGACAAAAATAATTTAGCTTTAAAAACAACAAGTGTATTTTGCACAAAATTATGAAGATACAAATAAAAATATAATATTTTTCGGNATGTCATGCATATTTAACAAAACATTTAAAGAATATTTTGATATGAAAATTTTATTTTTATATGCATCGATTGGCTTTTGAATAGTTTAAATGTTTCGCAAATAAAGTTATAAGTGCATTTTTTGCATCCACGCATTCTATCAAACGATATCATACCACGTTTTGTACGAACTTCGAAATGGTTATGCCCATTCAATTGCAAAATTCGAATTTTTTTTAAATTGCTACATAGTATAATTTTACGAACAAAAAAAAAGGACTCTGTTAATCAGGGGACTTGATGTCAGGACCGGATTAACCTAAGGCACACTAGGCACGTGCCTAGGGCCTACGAAAAACTTGAGAGAAAAAAATTTGTTGACAAAAATAATTTAGCTTTAAAAACAACAAGTGTATTTCGCACAAAATTATGAAGATACAAATAAAAATATAATATTTTTCGGTAATAAATTATTTTGCAGAATCTTATGATCTAATTAATATATTACTTTTTTGGATTCAACGAAATCTTGTATTATGCTGTCGAATTCCAAACTACGCAAAATGTCGTATTCAATAGACATAAGCGCGAGAGATGCCGAACGATCTTGATTCATTGTTGAAAGCAAATGATTTTTTATCAATTTTAATCTGGAGAAAGATCTTTCTCCTTCTGCATTTGATCCAAGAATCGACAAATATATTCTTAATGCAATGTGAACGTTAGGAAAAGTATTCACAAGTTTATCTTTAATTTGAGCCTTAATCGGATGAGTAAATTTTCACCAAATTTTGCGCTTTTAGTTTAATCTCAGATACAAATTTTTGTGTAATTTCCTTGTAATTCGGGTTCGATAAAACATCGATTAATGCCACTTTTTGGTCGATCCAGAAAACTGGGAAATTCAGACATCCGGGATAGCGAAGGTCCCGAGCATCCCAGATAATTGGTTCTCTACTGTATAAATATTCCTTGTAATTAATCTCACTATCAATTTCACTGTTTTCTTTGCTGGTTTGTTGTTGTATTGTTGACGTGAAGTGTTTACATAGTTATCGATCGAACTAATCATAATGGTATTATCGATATCAACAGCAATATCGGCAGTATGTCAGCATTGCAGATAAAGTTCAATAAACAAATTCGTAAATTAAAATCCATATTAATAAAAATGTTAAAAAAAAAAATATGCAAGAAAATTTTAGCATATATTTTGAAAAGAGGGGAGGAGTGGGGGAAGGAGGGGAGGGCCCAAAAACGGCTATGCCTAGGGCCTACGAAAGGTATAATCCGGCTCTG